CATCCTCCTGGCTTTATATTTCTTTTTTGCGTCAGAATAAATGTGTTTCTTCTAGCACAAGTGTAATGCTTGTCCAGAGCTTGCATAGTCTACAACTACCTGCACAGCATAGCATGGTTTGTCACAATATAATATAATCACAAAATCATAGAAAATTAGAATCACAAAATCAATGAAAATTAGATGACCTCAGGAGATCATCTAGTTCAACCCCCTGCTCAAAGCAGGATCATCCCTAACTACATCACCCCAGCTAAGGTTTGTTTACCCCAATCTTAAAAACCAAATATGGATGGAGATTCCACAACCTCTTTAGGTCACCTGTACCAGTGCTTTATCATATAATTATAGAAATTAAGGGCTAGAAAGACCGTTGAGTCCAAGCCCCCAGCTCTGGGCATGAATACCGCTGAGATCAAATGATCCCAGCAAGGTGTCTGTCCAGTCTCCTCTTGAAGACTTCCAAGGTTGGGGACTGCACCACTTCCTTGAGAAGTCTATTCCAGATTCTGGTCACCTTTGCCATAAAGTTCTTCCTTACATACAACCTGAAACCATCCTCTAACAATTTATGGACATTGTTCCTTGTCCTCCCCTGGGGCACCCTAGTAAACAGTTTTCTCCCAGGTCCTGATATTCACCCCTTACATATAGACAGCCACCAAGTCCCCCCTCTGTCTTCTCTTCCCCAGGCTGAACAGTCCCAGATCCCTTAGTCTTTCCTCATAAGGTTTGTCCTCCAGGTCCTTAATCATTCTTGCGGCCTTCTCTGGATCCTTTCAAGATTCTCCATGTCTTTTTTGAAGTGCGGCACCCAGAACTGGACACAGTACTCCAGCTGGGGTCTTACCAGCACTGAGTAGAGAAGAAGCATCACTTCCTTATCCCTGCTCACTTCCTTAGCCTCAGCCAATGCATTCCATTACTCTATTAGCTCTGTTGACTACAGCATCGCACTGGCAGCTCAAGTTCATCCTGTGATTAATCATAACCCTGAGGCCCCTTTCTGTCATTGTGCTGGCCAGGACATCTCCTCTTAACCTATATTCATGTTGCTGGCTACTTCTCCCCAGGTAAAGCACTCTGCATTTATCCTTATTGAACTGCATCTGGTTCCGCTCCACCCACCTTTCCAGCTTGTCCAGGTCCACTTGAATCTGCATCCTACCGACTTTTCCCCAAAACTTAAGGGGTCTGCAAATTTCGCCAGAGTGCTTGGGCTGTGGGCACTAGTGTGTCCGAAAACTTGCCCAGTGTGCTTTCCACATCCTCATCTAAATCACTGATAAAGATGTTGAACAGCATGGGGCCAAGAACCAAACCCAGCAGGATACCACTAGCCACATCCTGCTAAGACAAGACAAACCTGTCCACAAATACGCTCTGGGTTCGACCCCTTAGCCAGTTCCCAACCCACCTGTGGAATCTGCCAGCCCACAGTCCCCCAGTTTTTTTTATAAGAGCATCATGGGAGAACATTTTGAAGGTCTTTTTAAAATCCACGTATATGACATTAACTGCACCTCCCACATCTAAGTGGTTCGTTATTTTATCATAGAAGGAGACGAGGTTGGTCAGACACAACCTGCTTGTAATGAAAACATGTTGGCATCCTTCAGAGTCATGCCTTCTGCCAGTCTCTCACAAATGGACTTGATATTTTTTCCCAAAAATGTACCTAGTATCAAGGTCAAACTGACTGGCCTATAGTTTCCTGGATCTTCCCTCCTCCCCTTCTTAAAGATTGGTACCATGCTGGTACTTTTCCAGTCTATCAGGACCTCTCCCAAGCACCACGAGTCTTCAAATACCTTCGCCAACAGTCCCGCAATGACTCCAGCCAATTCCCTCAGCACTCTCAGGTGTAGTCCATCTGGTCCTGCTGATTTGAAGACATGCATCCACTCTAAGTGCTCCATCACCTATTCAACACTGACCGTTGATTGGCAATCACCTCCCCTTTCCCCTCACATTCATCCAGGTTTTACTACCATCTTAGTCCGAATGTTTTTTTCCGGATACCTAACCTAAACTTCCTTTGCTGCAACTTGAGACCATTGTAAGGGTGTAAGGGAAGGAGTAGCCCCATGAAGGAGACCCTGGGAAGGGCTCAGTGATTGCCAGCCTCTCTAACTCCAACTCCAACTCCCGCCTAGATTTGAAGTATCATCAAGACATGGCGGGCAAGGGCAGAACAGCTGAGATAGAGGATAGTGACAATCCCTGACCATTTCCCAGATGGCACACTCAAGTAGAACATCTGGAAGATGAAGCCCCCAACCCTACAGTATAACAGCTCAACGGTGGGGAACAGGCTGGAGAGTTTGTTCTCTGTTCAAAACTGAGATCATAGAGCTGGGTGGGGAAGAGGCTCCCCAGCCGCCGCCAGCAGGGAGCTCCCAGCACCAGCTCTGCAGTTGCAGGGTTGGTGCTGAGAGATCCTTATCTCCCAGTGCTGGCCCTACAACTAAGGAGCTGGCACTGGGAGATAAGGATCTCCCAGCCCCCTGCTCCCCAATCACAATCTCGGATCAAGGTGCTTGGAACTCTCTGCTGCCAGGGCAGGGAGACATAGTCCCCACCTGGGGTCTGGTGGCAGAACCCACCACAGCACCAGGCAGCTCCTGGGGGCAGGGAGCAAACTCCCTCTCCCTGGTGGCTGGCTGACCAAGAGCAGATTTGCTGCTGATCAAGCATCTACATGAGTGCTACTGCACTGTTAGTAATTGCAAGTAAATTTGCTCTTTGCATTTGCAGGTAGCAAATTTACTCACTATTAGCAAGGTTTACTGTGCAGGAAGTATGTGCACACAAGCATCTTGTGTAGACACACCCTAC